CAAATGCCCAGGGCATCCGCATCGATAGGGCCCCCTCAGATCAAATTCAAAATCCCTAGTTCCTGTTAAATGACCAAACGGGGGTCATAGGGGCCCCATTATCCTAATATGCCTAGGGCCCCCAATTGGTCAAAGACGGCACTGCAGACGGACATGACGAAACTATAAGGGTTCCTTGTCAGGACTACGGAAACCTAAAAAATGAATACGCCTAGGTACCCCAGCAGATGGTGATTAAGATTCTCAAATAATGTGACAAAGTTATTATTTTAAACGTCTAGTTATTTTCCATAAATTGACATAAATTGCACATTTTGACGTCAAAATAAATAGAGTACTTACATTGTTGTACAAACATAGTTTGATACAAGTTGTTATAATAATTTTGTACTAGTTAAGTATATAAACGCCACATTTCGTAGCATCAGATGTTACTATTAACTTTTCTGTTATTATAATATATTGGTAATGTATTGCAATGGTCGGTCATTGGATGGGTGACCAAAAACCTGTTATCTTGAGCTCCTCCGTGCTTTGGAAGGCATGTTAAGCCGTTGGTCCCGGCTGCATCTGCAGTCGTTAGGCTAGGCCCGCGTGGTGAGTGGCCCAATCTTCCTATTCCATCCATAGGGAAAGCCTGTGACCCAGCAGTGGGTACTATAATAGGGTGATGATAATGATCTTTTTTTCCAATAAACTTGACGGTTAGTCATTTGATTCAGTAAACAAAGTTGAGTTCACAACGCTACTGCGAAATACGTTATACAGAAATAAAAACATGATTGCCGCAAATCTATGGATTTTTTATAGAGAGCAATGAAACAAACAAAAAATAAGTGCGATCTATCTTCATGTATTGATTAATACGTTTTATTGTCCAAATTATTACACGATGAGATATTTTATTAAACAAAAAAAATCATCGTATACGAATCGTATAATTTGTCAAGACAAGACAATAAATATTTCTTAGAAATATCTTTTAAGACCTCTAGTGAGATGAGCCACTTTGTTTGTATCAGAGTAATCTTTTAGCTTCCTCTGAAAACGCAGCTGAGCGTGGTCGCCTCCTAGCGGTCTTTCAGACAGAGTCTGGTTACTAGCTGCAAGCTCTTCCTTGAGCCAATATCGGGACTTTGCTTGATAGGAGCACTCTATCTCTTGCCATTTCACTTAGACTTGGTCCCCATCGCCGTCGTTGCGGAACTCGCATTGGTAAGTTGGGACACCATGGTCTCTCATGACAAATGAGCACTGGTCGAGCCTCACGCCACGCATGTATCAATGACGTTATCCGCAGGGCTCTGATCGCTGTCAATGTGCCAGCGTAGAGCCTAGTGGCATCTTCTGAGACGATGGCAGGAGACCTCGATACAGTATATATATATATAGTAATAGCGCTCATTTCTTGGAAGCAGGGTCGTCCTCTTGTATGGGATGCTACTTGCGTGGATAAGCTTGCTCTGTGCCATACAGGTAGTACTTCTCTAACTGCAGGTGCGGCGGCACTCGTACTTATGTATTTGTTTGATTTAATTGTTGTTAAATAAACAGGCAGCTCCACGTGGAAATTTTCTGAAGTTATAATAAAATTTTTTTGCTGCTCCATTTTTTGCACAAAAAGTTCACAGACGCGTGTCTCAAGTGGATGGACCCCGCACTCGCGATGGTCCCAAGGAGTCCGAGATAACTTGTCGTTTTCGTGAGCGGTATGTGCTTGCTCGAGATATAATTCAAAGTTTTTCAGGAACACCAGATGACCGCTGACACACGCGAAACATCTTAACTATGCATTAGCGAGATAAACTTGTATGCTCGAAATTTAATATATCGCCATCAAGTTTGGGTTATTTTTATTTAAATATAATATAGAAAATACTTTATGATTTTTTTTTCAAGTATAAAATTGTTTAATACGTAAAATTTTAAATTATCGTATGGTCCGGTCATCTACACATTCAAAAGTACATAAATGGACATCAAGCTGGAGGTTCGTTATATTGCTCAAAACATAATTAAAAATATCATTTTAAAATTCCCCATCGTTCTGGTACTTGGATAAAAAATTATCCGCGGTCTAAGGTAAAAAAAAGGTTTTTTTCGCTATTTACATCAAAACGTTAAGTTTTATCGTAAAATTATCCAAGACAAAAATTGTAGATCATGAAATTATTTATAAAGTCTAAGTCACTTTTAATGTTTCCTTCTAAGGATTTTTTATTATTTCCGAAAGTTTCTAATACATAAGTTGAACGACTGTTACTCTTAAACTAACAAATCTTTTTTAACCATTATAATTTTCATTGAAAGTTCATAAAAATCAAAAATTGACTAATAGTTTCGCTCTTAGAGGAGGGGACGCCACACACGAACAAAAATTAGCACTTTGAAGTTTAATATTTCGCAAACGGATCCCTAAATTGAAAAATAGTAATTTTAAAGGACTTATTCAACAATATCCCACATTATGGGGTAGATGATAAAAACATCCCCACGTTACATGTAGCTACCCTATTTTTTTTTCAAAATTTTATTTTTTATTTTATCGGCATCATATATATACATATCTCTACAAAATTACAGCTCTCTAGTGCTTACAGTCTCCAAGCAACCGGGGACGGACAGACAGACGGACATGACGAAACTATAAGGGTTACTTGTCAGTAACTCGTTATAGATAATTTTATGATCTACAATTATTGTTTGAGGTAATTTTATAATACAACTTAGTGTTTTGATAATACAACTTAGTGATTAATCGAATCGCGAAAAAGCCACTTTTTTGACCATTGACCTCGAGGTAATTTTACGCTAAAACTCACCGTTTTAATGATATTCGCGAAAAACCCACTTTTTTACTCTTGATCTCAAGTCATTTTTTTCCAAGTACCAGAACGATGGGGAATTTTGAAATGTTATTATTAATTATGTTTTGAAAATTTTATTCCCTTTAGCTTGATGTAAATTTATGTACCTTCACTCTTATTTTTCTGTCTAATTTGACCGGAGTTATGAGGTTTTCGAACATTTTTTTTTATTTATGTCAGGGTTTATTATTTCATGTATTTTTTTGGAGTTTTGCAATAAATATGTACTGCGAAAGGACTTGTATCCATGGGTAGAATAAATTAAAAAAATCTATTCAATATCTATGATTCAATAGCAGATTTTTGTCAACTAATACTTTATCTATGACTACCATTCATTCCGTTCATTTCCTTTCCGATCGACTCAGTTTAGGTTTTGGTTTTGGAGGTCATAGTTCGAAATAGGGTATTTGATAGTATTAAAAATAAAGTGCCAATTGTAAGCATCTGTCTTTAGAATGAATATTGGCAGGGGTTTTACTATTTTTACAAAAAAAATATTCATAATTTTACTAAAAACCCACGAAAAAGATAATGGTTTTCTTTTCTATTGTCACGTGACCCAAAACGCTAGGGATTGGCAGAGCCTAAAATGACGTCACACGCAAGTAAACTTCCGGTTAAAGTGACATTACATTGTATCATTTGACGTTTTAATAACAGTCGTGTGACGTCACACACTAGTAAGACGCCATATTGTCCAGAGAAACGTTTTCGCGGCAAAGAACTAGAAAATTGAGTTTTTGATTTGTTTATTTTTACTGAAATACACAACAGAATGATGATGATATCCACTTTTTACGGACTCCATAAACATTAGTCAATAACGTGAGATCGTTTTCTGAAACTTGGCGAATACCCTATTAAAGCAGAACCTAATCAGTTTTGATTCACAACTGAATCGGTATTTTAATCGATCATAGCAAGCATTCAGCACTTCACTAAGCTTGCACTAAATACAAAAATACTCATGAAAAAAGTCTAAGCAATACGTATACGGTTTTAAACCACTGAACGAATTTTACTTTCGTAATATATTCGTACCACACAATCGAAAAGTTTATATTTTTAAAATCAGCCAATTATGTTTCCGAGAACAAAAAAGATTGAATGCCAATCTAGGGGAAACCACCCAATCATTGGCACTCGTCCTATTATTGGCACTTTTGAGTTTATGCGATTCTCCCAGCCTTACAATGTTATTCAGGCATATGCCGATGATAACTAACAAAACATTTGCTATTATCACCGGTATTATTATCTATGTAACCTACATTTTTGGTTGTGCATTTGTGTCGTATATCGATTGATGACAATCCATTGAGATTTATAGATAGAATAACAGGAGTTTAATGAACCGTGGTTACGTAACATATAATTGGGTGCCACGATCCGTAATACGCTTGCTTTTTTGTTTAATGGCACTTTCAGAAATATAATGTTAGCTCTATTTACACACATAGGTATGTGTTCTAAATACACAGACAAGATAACATTGAAGTTTTATCTTAGTATTTAGTCTGAAGCCAAAAATGTAAACAAACGGACCTTGTTCTCGTAATCATTGTTCCAGTTATCTGTTGCATATCTAGGATTAATTAATCAATTTACCTAATAAGCAATAGATAAATAATTACTACAAAGTAAGTATTCAAATATAGACTCAATTTATAGCAAAATCAGAAATCACCGAAACTTTGTCATTGGTCACTTTCGTCCAAAATACATTTCATTTAAATCAGTGATCCATTAGTGACGAGGGACCATTTATTGATTAAAAATTTCAGTCTTGCCAGTGACCACCACTTACACTATGATTTTGTAAATCGATAACAATTTAAAAATTATATGACAACCTCATTATAATATTTAATTTTCTTTACAGTTGATGATGAAGTAATTTAGCAGGTTTTAGCTTAAATTATAATATATAATTATTTTAGAACATAGGTATAGTACCTATCTTAAAATCCCAATCCAAACCTTACTACTAAAATAGTAAAGCCTCACAAACTAATTTTGTATGTATATTATTCGGAAATTCTGATTATTGACTGAAAAGTGGTGTCGCCATTATCAATATTAGGCGATGCGTAATACTTCGGGAGTAAATATTAACATTTATATTCACAGATCGAACGCAAATCAGCCCCTGATGTGTCTTTCTTCGACCTTACCCATGTGGCGGAGACTGTGAAGGTCGCATATCGACCCCGACCTCTAAATAAGAGGGTCAAGGTCGTACTTACCCTGTTTGCCGTCTTCATACTGTACGGACCTGCCATGTGTGAGTGTGAATAATTCCTTCCCGAGTAAATCGTTTACATGTAAGGCTTGACTATTTGATCGGATAATTAGCGATGAAGATCGTTGAAAACTGTAAGCTAAGCTAAGACTCACCAAACCTAACAAATCTGAGAGATTTGCACTTGAACTCGATATTTATAGTCCGGCCGCTCAGAGATTGCGTTTCTGACAGGACGTGTCAGTTCCTTATGACGCGACAGAATAAAGTACACTTTAGATCTAATAAAAAAGAGGTTCGAAAATTAACTCTAATGTCACCATAAGGAACTGACACGATCTGTCAGAAACGCAATCTGAGCGGCCGGACTATATTAAAAGATATAACCTTTGCTTGAGCAAAACTTTTTACTTACCGTGCATACCGTTAAGCTTCAACTTGTAGTTAATAATGACAAAGAAGTATATTTTGTCTTTGCGATAACTTTGAAAATTGTCAAGTACACTGAACTTTGCTTCTCAATTTCCGACTATCCACGTTCTATTAGGAAGACAAAACTGTCCGATACTCTTTGCAATATTGAGAATGGAGAAGATTTCAAAATGACTTATTAAATTCACAAAACAGCGCTGCAGCGTTATTAATGAGGTTGTTATTTCTAGCGGAATTCCACATATTGTACCTGTTCTTAAGAGACCGGCTGAATTGGGATATGGTGAAGTTTGGATTGTACTGCAGTTACTCAATTGTACTTCATTCATTCGGTAAGTTTATAATTGGCGACCTTTTCAAGATATCACCTTTTTGCACTAAATGAACAATACTAAAATATAACACATAAATAAACTTTTTTTAAACATCTTTAAACCGTCAAGATTTGAGTGAAACAGCAGCATCAGCCATTCAGGCTAATAAGGTGTCTCTAGTGCATTATTGCATATACCCGATTTCTTTTTTTATTATCATTCTGATGTTTTGTATTCGATTTCAGTAAAAGTCTTCCAATCCTTAGGAGTTGGCGCTTGACGTAAACAATTCAGAAATATTATTAGATCTAGAATTCTTACTCGGTTAAACATGTTGGGATCTCAGATCATAAGTCGGCACAGGGCATTTTTTTTTTTTTTTTTATAGATAGATCCGACAAATGACTCCACCCCACCTGATGTTAAGTGAAGGTGAAGTCCAGACGCGAAGATAGCTGATACAGCAGTTCTAACTGCCACACCAGCCATCCTCACCCTGCCGGCCTGCAAGTTGCTTCTTCACGCCTCTTTTAAAGGATCCCAGATTGTAAGAGGGAGGGAACACGTGAGCGGGCAGAGCATTCCATTTACGGATAGTACGACAAAGAAATGTGTCACCAAATTTCTTTGTACGCGTTGGAATTGTAGCCACAGTTAGACGGTGACAACGTAAGCCAGCGCGCGTGGTCCTCTGAAGGAAAGGGGAAGGTGGAATAAGAGAGAATAACTCCTCAGAACACTCGCCGTGGTACAGGCGATAGAACGCGCTTAGTGACGCCACGTCACGGCGTAATTGAAGAGGCTCGAGGTGTTTAGTCACCTCCTCATCGCCTATGATGCGGATTGCGCGCCGCTGTAACCTATCCAAAGCATCGAGCAAGTACTTAGCGGAGCCATCCCAGAGGTGCGAGCAATATTCCACGCATCAGACAAGTGTAGTTCTGCCATCACTTCTATCAGGCCCTGTCAGAACATCAGCGCTGTTGTGAACATCGTCGCACCAGCTCATGCTGAGACAGGGTCCTAGATAACCCCTATTGTAATTCTTTCATCATCATCATCAGCCTATTAATGTCCCCACTGCTAGGGCACAGGTCTTCCCAATGGATGGAGTAGGGAGATTGAACCATGACCCACCACGCGGGCCCAGTGCGGATTGGCGGGTGCTAACTACTGCAGCCGGGACCAAGTGCTTAACGTGGCTTCCGAAGCACGGAGGAGCTCGAAATAGTTAATTTTTGGTCACCCATCCAATGACCGACCACTGCGGAAGTTACTTAACTTCAAAGATCGCAACCGACTTGCGCCGCGACCTAACCACTTGCGCCGTCGAGCTCCTCGTTATTCTTTATTCCTCCTTTTTTACGATTTATTGTGTATATGAAATTGGGGTTAAAAAAAACATTTTCTTTCTTTATAAAATTGTAATTCTTCTTAAATTTTATAAATTCACATTATCTTTGCAAGTTTTGCAGATCATATTGGTAATATTGCATAAGAGTTAAAAGACAAATATTACTCCCATAGTATCAGGCTTTCATTGCATGAGTCGGAAAATATAGTGGCAGGTTACCCTATCGCGTACATCGATTTCCCAACATGTTCTGACCGTTAATAGGCATGTTTTACTATAACGAAAAAATATCTGCTAGTAGATATACCTTTTTTATTACCATATCTAAAATAACATCTAAAACCATCAAGGTTTATAGTGAGCAATCAGAGTTTACAACTTTATTAACTTACTTAAAACATAATATACTTAATGCTCTTATACAAAGACAACTGAGTTACAGCAAACTAAGAAAGTAATCTTTTGATTTAAAATTAACATGCATATTATGTGCATTTACCTATAATAGGCTATTTGACAGTAAGGAGAACAGTAATACCAATTATTGGAATAAGTGACCGAAAACGCTTAGGATTGGCGTAGTCTAAAATGATATCACCTGCTTGTAAGCTATCGAAGTGACATTTCTTTGTACTGATTGACGTTTTGACCTGACCATGAGACCCGTCTAAGACGCCATATTTGAAAATATAACTTTTATTTTCGTTTTTTTACTGATATACGCAACATAATTATAAATATCCACTTTTTATGGAGTTACTTTATACTAATAAATAACATAAGATTTTTTTTAAACTTGTCAAATAGCCTATTTATATGAGATTTGATGAGATGACATAAACATTTTTACTATAATTCCAGGAGCAATGTTTTCAATCACGGTATTGAGCAAAAGACTTCAGGTCGACGACTCCATGCTCTGCCTCATCTCAATTCTGAGCAAGTTCGTCGGCTCGTTCTGGACCGCTTTTGTGCAGACTGATATCGAGATGTATTTGCGTAAGGACATTTCAAAATATTAAAAAAAACGTACACACTCAATACATGTTTTCAAGACTGAGCAGAGTAGATATTAATAAGCAAGTCTCATTCCTCTTTTTTTAAATGTACCCGTGGGTGTCTCTTGACGACCATGATGCATGTTAGTACGTAGTTGCCATGACATTCGCATCCACATTTAGTATCTTGTTCATCTCTTTTTAGTCATGTTTTGACCGGTGTCCCTAGAGTCTAGGGACACCGTTCGAATAGCCTAGGCTAGACGATTATTTTGCATGACAGCACGTAGTTTACATGACTTTTGCATCATTATATTCGAGGATAGTATCTATACATCTCTTTTTAGATATGTGTCTGTTGGTATCTCTCAGGATCATGATGCATGATAGCATGTAGTTTCCATGACATTCGCATCAAATTTTAGTATCTTGTTCATCTCTTTTTAGTCATGTGTCGATAGGTCTCCCTATACGATTATTTTGCATGATAGCAAGTAGTTTTCATGATATTTGCATCAATATATTCGAGTATAGTATCTATACATCTCTTTTTAGACATGTATCTTTAGGTATCTCTAGAAGTCTAGAGGATCATGTTACATGATAGCACGTAGTTTCCTTGACATTTCAATTAATCTATATCTTGTTGATCTCTTTTTAGACATGTATCGATAGTTGTCCCTAGATGATCATGTTTCAAGACAGCCAGTAGTTTGCATGATATTTGCATCATTATATTAATGATGCAAATGTGTATTATAGATAGAGACTATAGATTAGATATATCTCTTTATACACATGTCTGTACACGTCAATGGATGATTATATTGCTTGACAACACGTAATTTGCATGTCATTCGCCTCAATGAACTTATCGAAATGATCATGCATGCATAACAGCACCTAAATGCATGATCGTAGAGGGACACTTAATTGTACAGAATTTATTAACGAACTTTTCAAAATGTTTTGCAAGCACTGCGCTTCAGTCACAGAACTGGCGCAAATTAAAATTTTGATAAATTACTCGACTCATTTGTTTTAATACGCGTTTATCGGTAAATTTATTTCAACCTTATTTTAAACACTGCACTAAGTGTTGCTTTTTTTTTTAAAAGTTTAATTAAATTTTATGCCAAGACCTTCTGATAACAACAAAATAAGGTTTAACTTCTTCATTTCAGTTCCAATTGTGGAAATATTGAACGCAACAACATTTACGTCTCTACGGTCCATAATTTCCAAGTTGGTGGATAAACAGGAAACCGGTAAGATACAATCGTACTACAATTTTCTGAGCAATTTGATTGCTAACAATAATGAAGCGGTTTAAAAATGCGATATCATCATCTGCGACTTTGACATTGCCACGTTTTTCTACGATTCTAAAAATAGTGAATATTCACTAGAAACTTAGTAGCGATAGGTACAAACAGCCACATATCAAGTTAACTTACATTTAAAAAAAATCCAGCTGAATTTGAGCTTAAGTTCACTTGTTATAGGAAATTCACAATGTATTAAATAAATAATAAATTAATAAATCTTTATTTACGAAAAAAGACATTACATAAAAAAATGTGTACATTAGAAGCTGCTGAAGTATAAAACTGTGTTGCAGCGCTAAGGTGGGTCTTCAGAGAAAAAAAAATATGCAAAGATTACTACAAAAATAATAAAAATAAATTTAAATATACTTATGTGCAACTCAACATTAACAAATTTTCTATATAATGAGGATATTTGACAGTTTGTGGTAACTTGGTGTGTAACTGTGTGTATACAAATAAATAAATAGTTGAAGCCGGTTGCTTAAGATTTTTTTAGATGTTCAAGTTATTTGATCTAACAGACAGTTTCAAACAGTTTGTTCAAATACAAATTCAAAATTCATATTTCTTCATGCTAATTGTCAACTCATCTTGATCAAATGTTCCCACACAGATTCATGCCTTATATTGGCATGAATCTATTAAATGTAATTCAAACTGTTTGAACTAGCTTGTTTGATAAAATTACTTGAACGTCTATGGCGGCCATTATATACTCCCGGACACATCTATCGATCCACCCAATGATATTTTATTAATAGATATGTTACGTTCATAGTAATTGCGTATAAAATCTGTTCCGAATTCCAATTAAACTTCAAAATTTCAAGTGTTTGCTCGTGCATAGAGTTGCATTTATCAGACGTAGAGTGGACACTTGATTGAAAAGTAAGTACATATCATATATGTAAGAAATAAAAGATCTTAAATTTATATTAATTTTCATAAATTTCAATATAAACTGTGAAATTACCAGATACCACGTATTTTTTTAAAAAAAAGTCATTATTTTTGGCTAAAGCTATAAAAAACGTGATTTTCACGGGCACTGCAGTTTTTTTAGACACATGTATGCTTCCAAAGCAGTATATTTATCATCCTGTTTAAAATTTGCAGAACAAATTGTACTTATTACTTTTTGTGGGCGGATAGTTCTTTCCTCCTGACCCATTCTGATGATCCATTTATATTTTGAGATTATCACTCAATCTAGGTAAATCTAGATAAAATTTATCTAGGTAAATACATTCCAAAAATATTACTATTAAGATATCTAATAGCCTACAGTAGTAGTAAGCAAGCACGTGTAGAGATTCCATTAGTTACTTCTAATCTTTAAGACCTACTCTGGAATATCAAAAAGAAAGACTCAGACTCACGCTCACAAAATGACAAGAAAACGATAACACTCCCGTTGCGCAATCAACCACTTAACAAACGCTATGACAAAGCATTGTAGGCAAAATTTATTATATAGAGCTCACAATTTCGCTTCTGGTTAATTATTCTATGACGCATACGCAAAATATTAGTAAATGGGAAATAAAATTGTATGCCAAAACAACAAATATGATGTTGAAATGAAACTTCTATATTCTTATTAATTTTCGAATCATAGTTTTTACATTTTTACTGTACACACAACTTGGCATTTTATCAATATTATTAAACTACTTGGCTAAATCAAATTACGATAATTGTCTGAATTTGTCCGCAACAACTTGCTTGCTCTAGTGACATATCTACTTCTATTTGTATACACAGCACACATCAAAAAAAGTTTGCGATCACTTTGAAAAATAAATTGTTTTTTGTGCTACAGAAGACTTTTTTGTAATTTCTTTTTCTGATAAGATTCTAAATTTTAAAATTAGAATAAATACGTAAAACAATAAAAGAATTCAATTGTTTTTCCATATAGAAGACATAGAAAAGAGAAAGAATCTGACAGTCATTCAGAAATCTGACTTAGTCAATATTATCGAATTTAAAATATTTTTTAACGGAAAGTTGTGATTTAAAACATGCCACGAGGATTATCAGAGATTTTACGAGCCAGAATTGTAACGTTGAGGGAAGAAGGTTATTCTACGAGAGAAATAGCACGCAGAGTTGCCATATCCCAAACCTGTGTAGTAACCACGTTGCAGAGGTACCACGGCCGGCATGGAAAATTAAGCTGATCATCCCCGCAGCGGTCGTCCAACTGTTTTGTCAGCTGCTCAGAAGCACTACATCAGGTTGCTGGTAGCTCGCGACGCCGGCGAATAAACGCCACTAAATTAAAAGCAGAAATACTTACGAGCACAGAAGTCTTGGCGAGTACCTTGGAATTCACGGGAACGTCAGCGACAGAGATTACAGTGGGCTAGGCTCCGGCAAAACGGAGAAGACGAAGAGGAAAACATTTGGCAAAACTGCCTCTTCGTTGACGAATCGCGAATCAGTACTCATCTAGATAACCGACGTGTCCGTTTACTCTGAAAGGCAAAGATCAGTTCAGCAAGGCGAGAAATCAGTGTCCTTTTGGGGTGGTATTATGAGGGGGGCTAGAACACCTTTAATTCCTTATCAAGGCTTCATGACGGCAGACAGATACAAAACAGTCGCTTTTGATGTAATCGTCAGACCTTTCCGAGTAAACCATGGGCACCAATTTGTACTGGTTGCTGATAATGCGCCCGCACATCGAGCTCAACGTGTCAATGCTGCTCTCCGAGAATACGAAATTAGAGATTAGAGAATACACAAGTTTGGACTGGCCTGCCGGCTCTCCTGACTTAAAGCCAATAGAGCACGCATGGGGATACTCTTAAGCAAGCTGTTTGGAACCGGCAACCACCACCCCAGACAGTGCCGCAGCTCAGGGAAGCTGCTGTTCAAGAATGCTGGATAACTTGATCCTCAGTATGTCCAGGAGGATCTCTGTATGTGTTCGAGCCAGAGGAGGAGTTATTTTGTATTAGATAAACAACAATTCATTAATAAAGGTTTTTAAGTTTCGGTTCAAATATCTTTTTATTTCTATCAAAGTTCTATTACAATAGCCTTAGGATTGAATTATAATTTTTTTTATACTAAAAATGAAAATTAGTTTTATTTTTTTTGTTTTCAGAAAGTGTATTTTTTTTAAATATATATAACGTAAACATTTTCTCTTAATAAGTTAAATTTAGAAAATATATCACATTTTTGAAGTGTGTATGTAATATCATTGGCAAGCCCACCTAGCTTTTTAAGTTGAAAACTATCCTAATCTAAAAGCACTCTTAATTTTGCTATCACTTCTCATAAAACTGGAAACTAACAGTAATAAAACGGTTCTGGAATTCTATCCGGAATAAATGATATTGTTATTATAACTGCTGGAGCACCTGCGACCATTTATTGATTTCGATACCATGCTTGCTACTAAGTGCTCACATGTTTGTGTTTAAACATAAGTAGTCTGATCCTTTGCCATGCCGGTAAAATGAATATTAAAAAATGGTACTTGCTTGCTACGTTCTCCTTGAGTTTACGAGTTACAGAAAGCATAGTTATATCGATACTGATTCGTGTCGGCTTGGGGTTCGAAAATTGAATGCCACACGGTTCACACAGTTCTATAGCAAACACACAATAATTCACTCATTGTACACTTTACAATCCCACACGAATACTTTACTTGCACTAAGTCGCCTTTGTAATTGTTCCGAAATCGCTGTTGAAATTCAAATGTAAACTCTCATATACGCCAATGAGCGCGTTCTAGAGTCGCGATCCAATTCAATTCAGAATTCCCTAGCACCGCCGGCCAGTATTTATACGCAGGTAGCTTGCATGGGTTGTAAACAAGTTGGCAGCTGTCATTGCACTTTTGCCCTTACGTCGCACTGAGAAGCCTCATATTCGAGTGGACCGTAACACGCGACCTTCGTATTTAGGTACTTTGGGTCGCGAGTACATCGAGCGTCGGTCGCGGTATTCTGGATAAATTTGTTTACAGAGCGTTCGTGACAATCCTTATTTTCGCTATAGGTAATTATTTAGTGGCTTAGCGGCAACACAAACATGTTTAAGTTACTCTCCCCGTTAAGGAATCATAGTACGTCGTTGTCACACGGGGTATCGAGCATCGCCTTTGGCGGTATAAATGGCCCACACCTAATCAATACATAGTATGACGTTGTTTGAGAGCGTTTTCAGAAAAGCGATTTTATACTCGTTTGTCTGAACTTGAAGCACAGTGCCGCCGCCGCGTTGTTCACGACGGATCCTTCTCTATCTATAAGTAATATAGACGTGATTACCTCTTCACTACTTGAGTTTGGCTGTCAGCTCTGCGTATTTGTCTTTGTCTCGTGCCAGACGAAATAGTTCCTCCACGCTGGCGACACCAGTCTACACTGATTACAGCTCTGATGTTTCGGAGGCACGACTTCTTCCTTCTTCCTTCTTCCGGCGCGTCTTTTCCCCTCTATCTTTTCCATCATTATAATCTGAAATAGGTGATAGCGCTCATGTCTTAAAATATAACCAAGAAAGGCTAACTTTCTTCTCTTAGTGGTCTTCATGAGTTATCTGGATTTATTCACACGTCGGAGTACCTCCTCATTTGAGACTCTCTGTACCCACATTAATTATTCGCGTGATCTTTATTTGTTTAAAAGATGATTCAATGTTAGAAAGTGTATAATATCCCGCTACAGCGGTGCCTTCCTCTCGTACTAAGCTAATATGCCGCGAGCCCGGTCCTACAAGTATTTCGTCTTCATAATCAAGTCATCGTACATTTTCATTTGGAAAATTGTGGAATGAAAGTATAATGAAATGAAAATACTGTTTAAAAATGAATATTCTATTTTGTTTAGCACACGTACAGTACAGAGCATTTGTTTGCTCACAACTTTTTGCAATCCGTCAATTTTGAGCAATCAGTTACATTCGTTCAACAAACCGGAACGTTGGAGTGTAGTAGCATTTAAATCGGCAACATTTAATTCTGGTAGTTGCGAAGTCATTCATTTAAAAGACGTGAAACCAACATGATTTTATATTAAACCGAGATTTTGTTTATTCGCCTACACAGAATAGCCTTGGCATGAATATTGCTTATAACTATCTAGGAAAACCTATCATTATTATAAACACACTTAATATTTATCTTCACCCACGCTGTGTCCTGAGCAGGGTAGGTAGACTAAATAGCGCATCACAAAGGAAGGTCCTGACACAAATCTCTCGGTCCTTTATTTACTTCCATAACTTTTTTCATACAAGTTTATACGGCTTCTAACATCAACCTTTAAAACGCGATCAATTTGATCGGTTCAAGTTAGTCTTGTCCTTTCCTGGCTTCCCACCCTTCCACTGTTGTGTCATATAGCGTCGTTGTTCTTTCATTCGGCAATTTATCACATATAAAGAAAATATTACTAGAAAAAAATGCAGTCCAGGTTTAGGACGGTACAAGAACGCACAACTTCCGCTATCCAGACGGGCTAAATAGCAATCTACAATTGCTATTTCTTCGTTCAAAAAATGTTTAATACTTTTAAAGGTATTTCGTGCGACATTGTAGGTATAATGCGAAGAGCTGATTTGCAGCCTTAATTAGTGCACCTGCTCTTATAGCGGGAAAATGCCGGTCTGAATCCTGTCTAAAACCTGGACACAATAGCTTTTATTTAAGTAATTATTTCTTTAGATTTAAACATCTAGCATTTAAATGCTTAATAATAAGAATATAACAATATTTTCACATGTGCGAACCAATACAGCATATCCCCGTTATTTTTTACACTGACGAAACTGCCTTCTAAACATGCTCTCTCCCAATGACTTACAATATATAAACAGGTAAAACGCCAACATTATTGCATTTTAAAATGACACAAGTCGTTCCCATCCCAACTTTTCTTGGCAACAGCCGCCAATAGAGTGCACTTAAGTAGTCTCCTTCACTCTAATTCATAAAGCTGATTACATCTCGCTCTTTAACCTCTATTTATCAACGGTGTCAGCAACTGTCAAATAAGTAATCACTAAATAATTTTACATTAATTTCATTAAAACTGTAATTATGAATGAAATGAAACGTTTTTCTTGTCTCCAATAGTTCCCGTGTGTTTTGTGTACTATCTAAAGACACACAGGGCTTTTTGTCTGAAAACCCCTAATATATTTACTCGTTGTAATAAAGTGTAGCCGCGGCCAGAGAGCGTGCCCGACTGAATGCAAGTCAGGCAATTACCTGACTTTCGTATTGCCAAATTAGAAGCGTGTATGACGTATCTATAACTTTAAAACATCAAAGCTCTCTCCTTTGCATTATGAACGCAGTCTGCGCATGTTACTCTGCTACATCTGTAACTAAGTTATGAAGAATGGGCCAAGTAGAGTATTTTTCAGTAAAGTTTTATTTAGTTATAAATGTCTTTCATGTGGCAATTATTTTATTTTAATTATATAATTTTGTATGTGCGGCCTCTAGTTTCTACATAATTATGAATCACTTGCATGAAAATTATTTAAGAAATATAACTAAATTTAGATCTTTTCCATTTTGTATACCTGTGTGTCCATTACCATCCCAGTAGCATAATTGGCTATTAGAAGAGTTTTTGAAAATTTACATGCGTTATTTATTAATGTGTACTATATAAAAAGATGTTGCGTTATCAGAAAAAAATAATTGTGTTTTGATATCTAGCAAATATGGCGTAACAGGCAGGTGACGTCACACGGCTCATTAACATCAAATAGTACAAAGTAAACATTACTTCAGCCCTTTAAGCAGATGATGTAACTTTAGGCTCCGCCAATCCCAGGTGTTTTTAATTAATCAAGTGACCATAGAACATAAAATAATTTCTATTTAATGATTGTTTAGAAAAGTTATTAATTATTTGTTCTCCCATAATAGTAAAATCGCTGCTAATATTGATATTGAATACAGATGCCAAGAATTGGTACTTCATTTTTAATACCGTTAATAAGCCTATTGTTAGAGCATTGCTGGATTGAATCCCCCACAATACTTTGGACTTATTGTATTTCTTTGATTAAAATATCGTCTTCAGAAGTAATTGTATCATTAAACGTATGCCTTTTTGTCTGCAGCTAAAGTGAACTCGCTATTTTCCCTAACGGAAACGGTGGCTGCATTGATCTTCGGCCCATTCTACTCGTGGTTGTACATGAGCACTCTGTACTTCTTCTCCGGCACGGTATTCCTTGTGAGTGCTGCTCTTCTCATACCTGGCCTCATTATACTCTCGTAAGTAGTAGTTCTGTTTTTGACAACGGTCGAAGCTTTTAAAAACTTACTTCCAAAGTGTAATAAAATTTCGAATTTAAAAAAATCTGATGCTGCTATACCTTACAGTTATAAGCAAGAAGGTGGGTACTATCGGCAGATTTGATTCCTGACAGCTTGATAAGCTTGTTTTCTTACAACTATTTTAAAATATTAAGGTAGATAAGTTTGTAAAAACAAACTTATTGTTTTCAGAACAATCATAAATTAACGTTATATATATTGCCACACCTCCCTATGACTTTAAAAATTTTGATGCAAAATTATTTGGAATTTATTTCTATAATTTAAAAAATCGTAATAATTTCCTTTATTTAAAAATCGTAAAGATTTTGATAGTTATTTCGAAATTCACACTACACTTCCCACTTTTTCTAAAAGGCGTTTTAATGCATTGGAAACGAGGGACAGATGTCAAATATCTTTGATCCACATTAATACAATTTTCTTGTAATCAGGTGGTCCTTACTACAATTGCAATCTTTAAAGAAGAAACTGTTTTTTTTTGACATTTCTAAGCAAATTATAACTCAAGTGAGTGAGGAATCAATTTGTTCACTCATTCACAATAACAACGCTGCATTTGGCAATGGTTGAGTCTCAAGGCCCGTATTACTAGATCGCTTTCAACTCCGAGACCACGATCCTGAGATACTGTTTTTATACAAAACTGCATCTCAAGGACATTCTCAAGATCGCTCTCAACTGTGAGACATTAATCAACTCTATTAATAAGGGTCTAAGATGATGGCCGAAAACACTACCTAGTGACGGGCCCATCGCTTACAATACTTTCCAATATATTATAATGTACAATACGTATTTACACTTTTGAAAATAAATTATATTTAAACTGCCTATTGCAGAAGCTGCTTATTGTTGTAACGGTGATTGTGGCAGACATTTTTAATTAATATAAAAGATTCTCATTTCTGTGTACCAACATTTATATGCGAGACCAACTCAATACTTTCCACTTTTTCGCAGATGGTTCTTCTACCACCATAGGAAAGACTTGAGGATATCAAGAAAGCAAGCATTAGAAACAGAAGAGAAAAAAGATGGTGAATTAAATAAATTAGCTCTAACATTCCATCCAGAAAAAAATACTGAAACTAAAAACAAGATTGGAAATATTTCCGAAAATTACTTAACTGTGAAAGAAGATGAAAATAAAGACGATGTTATGGGACCAAAAAATAAACGATAACATTATTTTTCCGCCTACCGCACATTAAACTTATACTTATCTTTGTAAATATTTAACTAGTTTATCTAAGTTTAAGAAAAATCTTTGTGTAAAGAATACTTTGTTAGATTATGGATAAAATCTAATTTCGGATCAAACATACGATAAAAAGCATTAAACGATTGTTTTGTTCTATATATTTGTAATCGGAAGTAATCTGTTAATAATTATATTGAATTCATCTCCAAAAATAATTATTTTTATGGTGCTAGAGATAAAAATTCAGATGCAATATCCCATAAACGACTAGTATTATTATTCCAGTGTCTACTTGATGGACCATGCCAGTAAGAGTCAATGCTTACTTAGAAGTAAAAATAATTTTAAGACGATTACCATATTTCAATCATTATAAGTAAAGAGCAAAGGTAAAAAATTACACTGAAAATTCGAATTAATGTTTTAGTATAATTGTAAGATTTAAGTTTTATGTACTTCTTCATAACAGTTGGAATTAATAACATTGTTCTGTTTTTCTTCTGCTGTGATTGTTTTTACTGTAAAAATAAAGAATCGGTATGATTTAACTCTGATTTTATTTATCTAATATCGTATTATTTCATATTGTATCCAAATCCTAGATTGAATGATGCAAATCATTTGGTGTGGTTAACTTATGATGGGTTAATCTACATCAAGAACCATGACAAAAACTTATTAATGCATGAATATCTGGTTGACCTTAATTGAACAGTATCATGATTTCGGGATTAAAACGAGGTTATATACTGTAAACATATATATTAAGTAAGGCATGGGCAAAAATTACAATAAGCTTACAGAAGCAAATAGCTAGCTATAGCGAAATTTACTAGCAACGGGATGAAATAGGATTCTGCCACCAATCAGGCGCACACTGGCGACTATAATTCTGTCAAAGCCCTTTGAAATCGTCGTCGAATGCGATCGAATGTGTTGTGTCGAGATATGCCCCTGTAGCACCTCTGCCAAATACACATTTAAGTAATTAATTGCTTTCGATTAAGCGAATAATTGGATTGTACTTTATAATTGGGCATCCAAAGATGAGACGTCATAAGACGAATACGGAACAACCCAATTTTACATGATCGGTACCTACACCCGTAGGTTTATAACTTTATATCCAAACTTGGGGAATTTAAAGCTAATAAGTTTCGACAATAAATAATTCGTATTCGGTCATACGTCCGATATGCGCGAATTCTATCGAGGATCCGAATGCGCCGAATGCAAATCATATTATATAATTATTTTTAGCGATTGAGTGGCGGATGCATGATCCGCGAAGAGAGTGGATATGAACGATACAGCTATGGTCCACGCAGATTATTCTGTGTCTGAGAGCTGAAGATACGTTCAGACTACGCCAGGTTATTGCTCTATATAAATAGAGCAATAACCTGGTATAGCGCTCATCACAAGCCCATACAATATGGTACAGCGTAGCTAGAACGTGTTCTATACAAATAATTATGTTGCGTTATATAATACTGCTATAACGCTACTTATACTTCTAATTTGAACACAAACATTTTTGTGATTCGGTCGCAAGTGCAAAGTTAATCAGATTGACCACAGACTATAAAGATTAGTAACAATATCAGATAAGTAATCCATTTAATAACGAAGGTCATATTAGATTATATTAGAGATAAAATTATACATGTACACAAAATTAGTGATAGAAAAGTCATCTAGGGATACGTATGATGATTGGATAATTGAGGAATATATTAACAATTTTGAAATTTATGAAATCAATTTAAATAAATTTATTCAATATTAATATTTTAATGTCACAAGATAATAGCAAAGGTATAAGACGTAATCCGTATCAAAAATTAACAATGAAAAGTATGTCAGTAGGTCATGGATAATAGGCCCCACAATAATCATGTCATCTGTGAGTCACGTACATCCAAAATACTAACTTATCATCAGTTATAAGACTTTTGGCGATGACATGGTACGGAACTATTCAAGATAGGTTATGAATGTGATAAATTTATCTAATGAGTAAGCATATTTTGAAAGAAAGAATTAATTTAATAGTAAATACATGTACATGTTATCTTCAGCAAAAATGATAATATTATATAAAATATACTATCATTTTTAAACTAGCCTAGTATTTTTAGGTGACACCGTTTAGCAAGCTCAAAAAATAGATAATTCGTTCTTTATCTTCCTTATTGATTAATGAACACGCGAGCCGTAATCAGTATCTATAGGTTTAGTAACAATTTGTGTAAATGGCAAGTGACGAGAACGAACTACGAAATCGTGATGGAGGAAATAACATCAATGAAGACGAAAGTGCGCTCAGACAAGAAGAAATTCCACTTAATCCTGATGCTGAAGACAAAGAGGAGCCAAAGAGGACATGTGGTCAGAAATGCATCTTCTTTTTCAAGAGCATCACTTTGGAGCCAACAATTTCATTGTACATAATAGCATACATAATAAGTGCCATGACAATATCAAATCTTAGTATAGAGAAAGCATGTCGGGTTAACCTTAATTTCCCTGACGAAATCTGCACTGCTATGCGACAACAGACATTGGAGAGTCAAAATACTTATGAAAGAGATGTACAAAGACTAGTGACAACAGCTGTTGCGTGGAAAACTTACTTAACGGCAACTATACCATGTGTCATAGCCCTATTCGTGGGACCATGGCAAGACAATACTGGCCATAGAAAAATCTTTCTAATAATACCAATAATTGGACAGTTATTGGCATGTGTTAATAATATCCTGAACGTGTACTTCTTTCACAAGTTAAATTTGGAAGTTCTTGTATTTACCGATGCAGTGATTGAGGCGTTAACTGGAGGAATGTGTGTTATGGTACTAACTGTGTTTGCATTCATCAGCGCTATAAGTAGTGTGAAAACTAGAACTTTCCGAATGGGTATGGTGAATTTTAGCTTCACAGTCAGCTTCCCTGTGGCAGCAGCATCAAGTGGAGTGATCCTGAAGAATTGGGGCTACTACGCCACATTCGGGATATCCTTTGGTATCCACATTATTAACTTACTGTATAACATCTTTGTTTTGAAGGACCCACCGAGAACAAGTGACCAGAAACAGGTTAATAAGTATATCTGTTTTTTGTTTTTCTTTCAATGGTAATAACTTTTTAACCGTGTGGTTTCCAGTAGTTTGGTAATAACCTAAGCCATGGTCTTACAATTAAGACAAGATCACATGATAACCCAAACCATAATAATAGGAATGATGACTAATTTTTTTTTCTTCGTTTATCAGGTAGATTATCAAAACGTATTGGACACGTATTTTTTCTTTTTTCACACAATATAAACATTGCAGCGGTATATGGATTTGAAAAGTCGCATGACGTCATGTTTTGGTACACTTTTAAGTAAAAATTCACTAAAAAGTGACGTCACGAGCCCCTACTCCCAAACTTTGACGCCCTATAACTTTGCCATTTTTTGGTTGATTGCCCAAAGAAAAAATACGTGTCCATTATTTTTTGATCATCTAACTGGTGGACTAAATAGAATTTCGTTTACTACACCCCATCATCACCCCTATTATGCGACCAAAATCTTACATAGATTGATTTTAGTTGCTTAGCTGATTAGGGTAATAAGTATCTCTCTAACAATTTATTTATTCAACTTATTTTACTAACTGCTTATTTTGTGTGTACTTTGAATCTTTTGCCACCTCCAAATCACATAAGTAGAGAAATTATGTAAAGCTGTTTCAATGCCGAATCAGGCAAAACTCATAATTAAACGAAGATGTAGCTAAGATGGTGACATAATATTGTTATTGCACAAGCATCTCTTCATGAGTGTCAGATTGGACTTTAGACCTTCAAATATAAATATTATTATAGTATAGAACAACATCATAAACGATCATGTTCAATCATAATCGCCGGCACAAACATTTAAACTGCACTAGTTACTCAGAACAAATAACGAGAAGTGATATGTAGAGAATTATTATTGAAATTCTAGTTTAAGTGATATTTTACCTAATTCTCTCATATTATCTTAAAAATAAAATATCAGACATAGTTTATTTTTCTTGTCCAGTAATAGCTTAGCGATTAGCTCATAATCGACAAGCTAATTTACAATTGAGCTGATAAGATGTGCACAATATAGCCATTCTATTATCATCGGAACGGTTCGTCTCATCGTCATATCACATTAAGACGTTGCCAATAATGATTCCTTAGTTTTAAGGACATAAACGTTTAATAATTCATTGAGTGTTTCAAAATGAAGACGGCTGACAGTGATAATCCTTATAGTGATGTTAAAGAATTGACTGAGTTGCAACCGCTAAACGAAAAACCGGCTTTAAGTAATAACGATGAAGATGATTCTGTCGAACTCCAGACTTTCAGTGAAAAATTTCAGTACGCATTGAAGAACGTTACTATAGAACCGACGATGATATTGTTCGTAATATCCGCGATCATTACAATGACCACTTCACAAAATCTAAGCTTAGAGAAAGCGTGTCGGGTAAATTTGAATTTCAGTGATGAAATCTGTAGTTCGCTACGGATGCAAAAAATGGAAAGTCAAAATGTATACGAGAGGGATACTCAAAAACTCTTAGCAGCCGCTATGAGCTGGAGGACTTACATTACTGCCACAATACCGTGCTTTATGGCAATCTTTATAGGGTCGTTTTCCGATAAAACAGGACATAGAAGAGTATTCGTATTAATACCTATAGCTGGACAAGTTCTCGTGAATATAAATAATATAGCAAACACATATTTCTTTTACCAATTGCCTTTAGAAGTGCTTATTTTAAGTGAAGCTATCATAGAAGGTTTCTCGGGTGGTTGGTGTGTATGTTTCACGACTATTTTTTCTTATATTTGTGCCATTACGACTCAGAAGACAAGGACATTTCGTTTAGGATTGGTTAATTTTTGCATGACTGTCGGTTTTCCCGTTGGCATGGGACTAAGTGGTATTTTGATAAAGAAATTCGGATTTTACGGATGCTACGCGATATCTGGCTCTTTGCAGTTAATCAACTTACTGTATAACATTTTTGCTGTAAAAGATCCAAAAAGAAGTTCGGAGCATAAAGAGGTAATTATTAAAATAATTCATTCTTTGATTTTGTATTTGGCCTAAAGTTCTATTATTCGTTAAGATATATTTACATTGAAAACAATAGCAGCAATATCATAGATTTCACCAAAATTAATATCTTTCTAGGCTTAGTTTTACATTGATTACTTTGTGTTTTACTTCCACACAATCTGCTTATTGTGGGATAATTGAAATTGACATGGTTCACCTTTTTCTTTATTACCAACTTTTACATATATAGATAAATGAATAAATTACAGCCGTGCATAAATAATAATTACATTGTCAGCGAACCATAATAACAAAAAAAAAATACGTTTATTTATCATGGTTTCTGCTGAAATATTATTATTAAAGCCAGAGATACTTTAATAACCAAAGGACATTGCTCGTTCCCCATACATTGAATGCCCCAGAACGCACAGGAATGAGAAAATGCTAGTTGTGTTCGGAATCATTCATAAACTCTTATCAGGCATTTGTTGAAATACGGACAACTTGAGGAACCGTGCGTGGCCTACTACAGAATGTATTAGATTTTGAGGTTATAAATATTAAATTTAATCGTAAACGATGTACGTTTTATATACTCTGAATAGATTTATTGTTTACTCTCTATAAGCACTTAAATAATATGAATTTACTGAATATTAAATGCAATTAATAATCATTTAGTTTTAGTGACAGTCTATTAGGGCTCTAAGGTTCACATTACAGCAAATTGTGTAGTAGTTTCAGAACTTTTAATTTTAATTTTTTCACCACAGAATGTCCGTTTATTATGATTAATTAATAATAATAATAAAGTAATAAAAAGCTAATAAAGTAAGAAAAAATATATAAATATTAGTGAAGGACATTCGTTTGTGCATGATGGGGCAGATTTCGTCGATGTCTGTTGTATATTACGCTAATTGAACAAATACGATTAAGATATTATTATTTGAGATAAGTAACCGTTATTTGATAGGCTTCGTAAAGACTTTGAATTTCATTGTACTTAAGTTTGGGACATGACATCTGTTCTATTGCGTCTATTATTTAATCATAACTGATGTTATAATTTTACAATGTAGTGGTATGCAAATATGTATAATCAATGCTTTTAAATCAATAATTACTTACATTGGCGATAGTGAACTCATTTATGTGCACTAGGCACTTAATTAATTACCTTTGCATTAGTTAATTACGTAAATAAAATTATTATGTCTGCCGGTCCTTCTAATCTAAATATAATATTTAATTATATTCAGTAACCTTAATAAAAAAAGGTTAAGCGCGAGTCTGGCCTCGCTCACTGGAATTCCGTACAATAAACTAAGTATTTAACCATATTGTGGTTTAATTAAAGCTACTTTATAGTACTGACTTAAAAAATAGTTCATTTCCGATCTAGACATTCAATAAACCGCGAAAGGAAAAATTGTTCGCTTTCGCTGCAACTTACATATTACATTATGAATCGACGTTTTCAGTATTTGTTGTTTAAATACAGCATCATAGCAATTTATGTTATTAACGGGATTGCTACTTTGTTCAAACAAGGTACATGGTCCATTGTTTATTTAAAGTTTAAAGCAATACCTATCTTCGAAAGTAAAAAAAAACTATAAAAACACGCTTTTTTAAATGCACGTAAAAACCAAAGTGGCGGATAGTTCAAGTTGTCGTAATTTCTGGGCTGAAGTGTTAACTATGTGCTCTTAATTATTATATTTGATTATAAAAGCGTAGGGCGCTGGAATAGGAAAGATTTTTGTATAATTTGCTGAGAAATCAAGATATTAGTAATGCTATATACATCATTATAATGAATAGAATAACTGGGACGCCAATCTATGTAACCTGCTTCCCGTAACATCGCTTTACTTGATTCCTCGCTTATGCGCTTATGACCCTTGAGTGCGGACACAATGCCATGCGCCGATCGCACTTATATACACTAATCGACGCATTCTAGCAAAGTCCCGTTAAATGGATAGTTAAGGACATCATATACCTAAATTTCACATTCTTAACTAATTTCGATTTTCAGATAGACCGTAACAAAAATGGTCTAAAATGACAACTTTCATGGCCTATCATTTCTTTGTTATTGAAAATAATAATTAATAAATTTGTATCCTACTTAAAGAGCTCTATGCAATGATGAGTCACATGCTGGAGTAAAAAAGAAAAAAAATTGTCTCCTTTTCATCGACATAAAAATTATTTAATAAATATTCATAAAATAATAGATAAAATACCAATATCTTACTTCTGTAACTTATTCCGTTTACGATCTAGAGACTCGTCACAGCCAGAAAGACGACAGAATGACAACGATAGAGTTCCGTTATTACCTTTTGGGTACGGAACCCTAAAAATTACAATAAAAATCAATCCTATTGCTATATGTTAAGTATTTATTTTTCATTATTTTATTTTTTATTCATAATGCACACATCAGAACTTCTTTTAAACTTCTAACTTTAACAGGTGACTATTATTCTCCTACTAACTTCCTACCAAAATCCTATGATTAATAAAAATAATACCATCTTAATATTCCATAGTCTAGCAATGATTATATACATTTTACCTATATTTACCTATTTTTTTGTCTTATCTATCTAATAATAATCAGGTGTTGTACAAAACAATTGCGTCCATAATAATTAAGTCTTAAACTATAAATAATTCATTCGGTTGTTTTATTGCCTAAAATTAAACTGAAAGTCTTCATGACTTGATATATTTTTCTTTTAGATGCCCGCGACTTTTTTATTTATGCGGCCTGCGATCATGAAGTTAAAGCAAGTTTCGCAATGGCCGGCACTGAATGGGTGACCAAAAACTTATTATAAAGAGCTCCTTCGTGCTTCAGAAGACACGTTAAACCGTTGATCACGGCTGCACCTGCATTCGTTAGCACCCATCCACATTGGGGCCGCGTGGTGGGTCACGGCCTTTCACCCTATTCCAACCATAGGGAAGGCCTGTCCCCCTGCATTCAGAACATTAATAGGCTGATGATGACGATTAGTCACTTTAATTTTTCTCCTAGATATTCTTTATCCGCACACCGAAAAAGTATTGGTGCCGCGGTTTACGAGTGATTGCGGAAACAGATAGACAAACCAATAGGATTAATTTATAGATTAACGCATGAATTGACTTTCTTATCAAACTAGCTTGGACTTTAGATTTATTTTTGTCTACTTTGAACGGATCAAATTTATCAGTATATTTTTTTCCTGTATCCAAAATTTCATTCCTTGTGTTTGAGCGTGTTCGATTAGCAAACATTACATTTTGACGTGACAACGTCTTAAATTAGGTTGCGGCTGGGAGTCACTTATGAAAAAGTGTAACGCTCGGTAACGTTACGATGAGTCTCTCGTGTTAAGTTTAAGTTTACATGTACAATGTTTTAGTAAACAAAATATATTTCTATAGTTAAAATTTGTGCAATTCTTATTTTCATTCAATTCCTTGTTCCTATTGTGCAATTTAATTATATTCATATCAATAAATATTCTACCGAGAAAAAGACGTTGTCACGTAAAATCTTCGCCCGTAAAACCGACTTTACAGGCAACCATTTTTTTTACATTTATAAATAACTAACTAATATACACATATTTAACATACATACGTTAAGGTACAGTTACGTTTCTTTTCGCATGTACTAATAGATAGATTATTTTTTGTGAATTAACTTTCCACTAATTATGATTATGCTGATAAGATGAGATGAGGTCAGAGTAGGCCAGTGTTGCCAACTCTACGTCTTTTTACGTAGATCTACGTATTTTAGGCCTTTTCTGGAAACCTACTAACTTAAGTCCCAGAATCTACGTATTTTCTTAATTTTTTTCAAATTTGTAAAATAACTTAATTCACTAGAATAAAGAAGAATATTTTATATTGAATATTTAAGAAGATGTATCTAAACACTCTTGCATCTTGTAGAAAATTTTCCCGTTATTGGTTTTGTTGACTAAATTAATGCTGGACGCAGGATTTGTGAAAGCAGAAACGACAAAACTCTTTGACTTATTAGGTACATTCATAACCTTAAAAATTGTATTTTTAAACTTTTACTATTATCAATGAGTACCTACTCACATCGAATTGATCTTTGCAAAAAGAAAAGACTTTCAGTCGATAAAGTTACAGGATTTAGCAAGTTTTAAGCATATGTTCATGTGTAAGTATGTTTTTTCTCTTGGCAATTTAAACCATAACTTTTCTAGAGTCTTTTACCAAGTGTATCATGATAACTACTATATTTTTCATGTGATCTATTAGAAATCATGGTTTTATAATATTAACTTAGAAAGTTTATTTCCTACGTGCTTGCGAGTGTTTGTTTACAAATGTTTTGGAGCCAAAGCATAGATAAGTCTATAGACTAAAGAGCGTTTTTGTATGTCTTCTAGGTAAAAAAAAATTTTTTTTCGTTCTGATAGAATAATTATTAAAAATTTAAAACATAATTCCAAAAAGTGTCAACTAGCCCATTTAACAACAGTTTATCCTTGTCATTCTCTATACAGAATGAAAAGGAGAGACTGATGTTAAATTAAGTTTTAAATTTAGAGAACCATCCAGAATCGGCACCCACCAGTGTCTGTGTCTGATGGTAAATGTTAACCACAGCATGGTAAATGCTTCCAATGCAGCGACTTCTCCAAGAACTCTTCGTTCTATCTCCCGTTCTTAAACAAATTGTATAACAAAATACTCGTTTTATTCGGTTTCAAATAACTTCTTCATTTCACTCAGAAAAAAGTACGTAGATCTACTTACTTTTCATATGCAAAATTTACCAATTCTACGTAATTTTCTCATCGGGCCTACGCCTTTTTCAAAATCCGAGTTGGCAACACTGGAGTAGGCAGCGCACAAGTGTATGTCGGCGCTCACCATTAAGGCGGGCTATATGCTAGTTTACCACTGTTTTTACATAACTTTAGTTTTTTTATTATCAACCTGACCTTGACCAAAACTTTTATTTTTTATTTTAGTGCTGCTCATTTTGAAATGAAATGAAATTATACTTTATTTAAATTGACTTATGGAAAGCTCTTTTGAATCGTCCAAAATTTGCCTCCTTTCTTTTTTTAAATTTGTCTTTCAAAACATTTTGGAATGAAAAAAATTTTTCTTTATCCGCTAAGAAATGAGTAGCAAATTTCTTAGAGCACATTTCTTATTGATGAACCTATCGTGCCGTATAGAAAAAAGTTTGTTTACCATAGGTATTTTTTTTGAGTGTGTATGCCGTGTCGCAGATGACCTTTACAGCGTCACCGGTTTTGTTGACGGCAAGATCCAAAGGGATCTCAAGCCCAGAATTGGCGAATGCCTTAAGAGGTATTCCAGACGGATGGCATCTAAACACGGGGGCAGTCTCCCCTCCGTCTGGAGCCTCTACACCACTCAAACCTGAGGGGGTCGGCTCAACTAGAGGGCATCTCTGAGACTCGGACCTTGGTTCTAGTTGTGGGGGGCGGGGAAAAACGACCATACGTATCCACACTTAAGGCACATTAACGTGAAAGAAACTGTATCTAAATAAATAAAAAGACACTTTTATGCGTTACATGCTGATCGAATTTTGATGATTTCTTTATACGTTAAAGAGTAATGGAGAATTATTCTTTGGTGCGGAAACCACATAAACAAGTTCTTTGTATGTTGTAATTTTCTTAACATTGATATAACAATCAACGTTTTGTTTTCAACAGCACGATAGAAAAGGCGCTGGTCACTTCTTCCGAACATTCTTCGATCTATCCAATATCAAGGAGACTGTGATAGTAGTCTTTAAGAAGGGCCCTAACAGAAGAAGGCTTCGTATGATTGTTCTTCTCTTGGTCGTAACCATCCTCTTCGGGCCAATGTTTGGTATTTTTTTATTATTATTAAAATAGTGTAATTCAAGCGCTCGATCTAGTTGATCATCATTATCATCAGCCTATTAATGACGTGACGACCTCCGTGGCCGAGTGGTTTGTACGCCGGGTTTGATGGTGTCGCCTACTCGAGAGGTCCCGGGTTCGAATCACGGTGGGGGCGGCGGTTTGAGTGATGAATACGAACATGTGTACTCCAATCATGGATGTTTAATATGTATTTCTAAATAAATATACTTATATATGTACAGTATATGTATTCTATCCGTTACCCTAGTATCCCATAACACAAGCCTTACAGTGCTTACTTTGGGGCTAGGCTAATTGGTGTGGGTGTTGGAAATATGATGTATTTATTATTATTATTAATGTCCCCACTGCTGGGGCACAGGCCTCCCCTATGGATGGAATATTGGGCCATGACCCACCACGCGAGCCCAGAGCAGATTGGTGGGTGCTAACGACTGCAGATGCAGCTCGATGGTGTAGTTTCGAAGCGCATTCAGCGTTCTATCGTGAAAGTTAAGCAACTTTGGCAACGGTTGGTCATTGGATGGGTGACCAAAATCTTATGGTCTCGAGCTTCTACGTGTTTTGGAAGGTACGTTAAGTAGCAAACTTTCATGAATGTGATCTGAAAAAGAATGACGATTGTCTTTGTTCAAACATTTAATTAAGTACTGTTTTCAAAATTCTATTGTTTTTTTTTCGTTTTTAGGCGAAATCTCAATTCTTTACATGTCGACAAGATATAGATTCAACTGGGATGAACTCCAGTTCAGTATGTTCCAGACGTATAACTTTGTGATCCACACAATAGGTAAGTGTTGTAAATGCAGGGATTAAAAAATATATATTTTTAATAAAAAACTGACCAGGGCAAGAAGAAGTTTCATGTTTTTCCCTTCCTTCACGCCATTTTATTCATTAATGTAAATAAATTATTGCTCTATAGATTTTTTTTCACTTTTATTAATAACGATAGTACGATTTATCTTAGGTATTGAGTACCTACTCCAAGATAGGAGAAGAACATAAGTTTTTTCAATTTCATTATGACAATTTCAGGTACAATCTTCTCCATCGCGGTCCTGAGTAAGTACTTGCAGTGGCACGACTCCATGCTCGGCATCATATCCACTATCAGTAAGATCGCAGCCTCCTTTGTCTACTGCTTCGCGCCCAACGAAAGAATATTTTACATCGGTAAGTGGTAATTTTAATGTTTAAATTTAAAGATTTTTTATAACCAGAAAAAATTCAACGCGGACCAGGAAGCAGACGGGACTCGAACCCACACCCTCCACTATCCGGGCAGATGCACTGACCATTATACTACCGCGGCCCTAATTGTCCTTTCTTTAGTATTTCTTAGGATACAAGACAGCGCCATCTCTGTGCATTGTAGGTAACTCACAATATCAAATGAATACCTATACAAGTATTAAACATTTTAAAGAAGAAATAGCAATTACACTCGTAGTTATATTTTTATTTTCTTTTACAAACATCAAGCAGTTAAATGGAAGAGCTCAAGATAAACCATTTTAGTCAAGTATCACTGCAGGCCAAACCTAAGAGCTAATTAAATCTTCAACAACATATTAGTAGATCCAACTAATACCAAGTATGGTATAGTTGAGATGTGGCTATTGAACTGATGGTATTTTAATTTAATTTCATAATTTACTTTCAATTTCATCATGGAGTTTTGAAATGACTTCGAAATACCATGTAAGTATTAGAGTTCTATACCAAAAAAAATACAACGGAAACCATTCACTAAGTCTCCGCTGTTCATCCGGTCTTTGCCTTAAGAAAAAGGGTCTGGACACTGGACAACGCACAGACTGAGGAACAACAAATTGATTCTATAAGGGTTCCTTTATTTTCTTATGAAGTACGTAATCCTACAAGCGTATACTTTTTGCATATGTTTCAGCACCTGCTATTGAAATCCTAAATGGCACTTCACTGTTGGCTCTACGGTCAATAACTTCCAAGTTAGTTGCGCCCAATGAACTCGGTAAGTTTGATTTTAATTGCAAGAAAAATATACTGCTCACAAAGTGTACTTATTCGTCGCAGGCAAATAGATATAGCCGTATCATATCCCGGCTAGTTGTTTTAAAAAGAAGCAATTTTTGTATAACGGAGGTTGATTATCAAATTCACATTAGATTACCAATTTAGCTAATATTAAAAAATAAGAAATGTGTTATTATTAAAAATATTCAAGGAGGAATATGTTACTTTGTATGTAAGAAGAAAGTAGGTAAAGCTTTTAAAGCAAATTGTGTGAAAAAAATAAAAGAAACAAAAAAACATATAATAAATAAAAAGTACTTGCCGTTTTCTTCAAGTTGCACACCATATTAGATTACTAATAATTTAGTAATGTGTCTTCTTGTCTTATGATAATACCAAAATTATAAATATGACATTGACCGCTTATATGTTGAGATTCTCTGCTTGATATATGGCAGCTTCCGTAATCAGCTGGTGCCGCTTTTATTAAATAACATTCTAAAACTGGATCCTTCTGCTATGGCTCTTGTACCACCGCTGACGATAAACGAGACGCAAGTAGAGCTACTAGACCAGGCAGCAGACGGGACTCAAACCCGCACCCTCGGCTATCCGGGCGGATGCACTGACCATAATGGTCAGTGCATCCGCCTCCCTAACGGCCGTGTCGAATCTCTACTAGTGTTTCTTAAACTGCAAGGCAGCGCATCACTTCGCATTGTAGGTAACCTACAATGTCAAACGAATACCTTTACAAGTATTAAACATATGAAAGAAGAAATAGCAACCGTAGTTATGCTTTTATTTTTTAGGCATTTAACTGCTAGATGCTAAAAAAATCCAAAATAAATTTACTAGAATAAAAAAGTTAAAAAAAAAGTATTTTGCTAATAAAAAAAATCTTTCGATTTGAACATCTAGCAGTTACATGCTTAAAAAATAAATATATGAAGTCAAACATTGTGTTTTTTGCATCAATACCTTGTTCTCAATTTAGCTGTTTCCATTATTTTCAGGTAAAGTGAACTCGATCTTCAGCCTGACAGAGAACCTGATGCCTTTAGTATACGTTCCCCTCTACACGAAGGTGTACAGTGCCACCATGGAGGTGTTGCCCGGGGCTGTATTCCTCCTGGGGGCTGCTATGACGCTACCAGCGGTTGTAGTGTTCCTGTAAGTATGAATACCTGTGCATTTTTTTTTAATTATTTATTTATTTAATTGTACATGCCAGCTTACAGACTACATCCAACACGCGGGCAAGTCAAATATTAAATTAACAAAAATTAGGCAGTGTCATGTCAAAATTTGTCATGTATGACACATGACATAAAAATAATATAACAATGTCAATTATTAGTATTAACTGTTTCGAAATCTAAAAGATAAAATATATCAGTAGCAAACAAATTTGATTAAAGTCAATAGGTACATAATTTTAGTAACGTTAATTACAAATAACTTCAGATGTCAAACGTATTAAACCAGTCTCAAAATTCATAAAAAATGCCGTTTTTCTAATATACTACAATGTCAAATTAATTCAAATTCTAAAAACTTCAATGTCAATTTAGTTTTATTTTTTTGGTTAAGTTCTCCCTTTTCAGGGAAGGCAAGGGGAACAATGCCCATACAGCCTAGTCTTAAGTTAAATTATTCTTTTTTTCTTTTTACATTAGAATGTCGGTGTGACGCATTCTAATGTTCTTGAAGTGTTTGGCACGAAATGTATCGAGCTGGCTTTTTCGATAAGCTTCTGTGAGGTAGTCAATACTACAATAAAATTCTCACGTCCACTTGACCGGAATAGCGTATATTTTGACGATTCTACTAATTCTTCAGTTACGCAGACAGTTGTAACACAAAATCACACCAATTTTATTTCACAATATCCACTATGAACGCATTTAAGAATAATTAAAATAAGACGCCAACCACACTCGATGAAATCCCGCCAATAACTTCTGTCAATTTAGTTTTGTTTACTTCAATAGATAATAATAATAATAATAGATATAAATAGGATTTATTTAAATAGGTCCGAGAATGCCCTTCCTCTCTTAGCTTAAAATAGATTGTCTGAAACCTTCGACCAGATAAAACTATTATGTAGTGTTGTTTTTCAAAACACCTCGTCAATTAGGAGTTTTGTAAACTACTCAGGAAAGTAAGCCGGCGAATTTCATGTTTCTCTCTCCCCCTGTCCAAGATGGGCGGCTAAATACTTTAAGTATACGTAATTGTATTTATTCAGAGACAAGGATGCTTGAAAAGAAAGTTGCAAAGGAATTTAATTTAAAAAGTTCAGGTCAGACAAAGTTAACTGTTTTTAAGTAACATATTTTGAAGTGCCTAAGTAAGTAAAATCGCTTTTGATTTCGGATTACATCTCGGACCAGTTCAGTGACAACAGTAGTGTATTAAGTCCCACTTTTCGTTAGTGTCAAAGATTTATTATAATATATTACAGTCTTATTACATCGGCAAAATTTTTTCGCATTACATCTTAAGTTGTAATTAAAAAAATCAGATCTAATCAACAAGCTCTGTGGTAGAAAGCACGCCTGCTACGCAGACGGCGCGGATTCGAGTCCCAGTTCATACCCGAGGAAGAACTTAATTTTACTGATATTAAAAGTTGCACTTGCATCATGGTTTTAAAAAACCAAACCAATTTTTGCACCTTAAATACTTACTCAGCCCTGTAAGGAATAGATAAAAAAATAAAAATTTCCACACTCACACCAATTAGCCTAGCCCCAAAGTAAGCACTGTAAGGCTTGTGTTATGGGATACTAGGGTTACGGATAGAATACATATATTGCACATATATAAGTATATTTATTTAGAAATACATATTAAACATCCATGACTGGAGTACAAATGTTCGTATTCATCACACAAACATCTGCCCCCACCGGGATTCGAACCCGGGACCTCTCGAGTCGACGACAACATGAAACCCGACGTATTAACCACTCGGCCACGGAGGTCGTCAAAATAAATGCTGTAAGGTTATGCAAGTAGTTTGAAATAAATGTTTCCTATTATTGTCTCTTCAGCTAGGGAGTAAAATAGGGTAAAAGGGACATAGGGACATAGTGTAATAAATTATTGACGTCTCCTCCAGGTCTCAAATGGGTATCGTGCCAGTATCCTGTTCATGGCACTACCTGAGATAAAAAATACGTGTGGCACTCGGGGACTGCCGCGGTAGAGCTATTGCATAGCATTTTTATCAACTTAATGCAATTATAATTATTTATACCTATAGATACCTATACACCTATATACTTTCTCACAATCAGCTGCTTACGTATTCGTCTGATTTCGGAGCAGGTCGTCTCGATCCGTGTGAGCTTCGTACAGTCGTACAATATACATGCACGTTTTTGTTCAACTAGTCGCGGGCTCAAACTCACTCGTGGACGCGGCCAAAAAGCACGCTGTCTTATTTTTTTTTTGTGTGTCTGGGAAATGCTTTACGCATCCTTCAACCATTGGGGGAGCAAGATGAAGGTATGAGACTCCTCCCTGTTCATTTCAGCCAGCTCTGAGATCGGGTGAAATAAACAGGGCCCTACCTAACGCCCTGAACAGGGCCACTAAAAGCCAGACAATACTCCTGCACCGTCACACGACATGCACTATGAGGACCGCGGTCCACCTAGTGCATGCCGAGAGGGCGGGTGTGGTCGCGGCTCCCGTTTCCGAATGGCCGCGCACCCGCCAGGTGTATAAAGAAATTATATCAATATCCATATTAGAATTGTATGGCTATACTTCAGCCTTTCAATTGAACATCCCACCACAACCAAAAGTTTATTCAGGCGGTGTAAGGTTTTTTTCGTTACGGAATTTATTGATTCGGTCGCCGCGCTCAAAGCCCGCGATAAAATCTATTCAATAGCTTCATAAGTAAAACTTAGTCTGATCTAAATGAGTGTATCCCGGTGCTAAGTGACTTTTCCTGTCATGGCACCAGCTGTAAAGGATATTAAGGGCACTATGGCCTTATCTAAAATGAATAAGTAAGTGTGGTACTATCTAATAAGAATTAGCGCATAAGGCCCTAATGCGCCCATAGTGATCAGGACGATATCCCTTTTAGACCTGGAGAAGACGCCAATAAATTCATCACAATAGCACACTACGTGGATCCCCTGCAGTACCCATAGCACCAACCAATATCTAATTTGAATAGCTGAATCTGATCTCGATGCTCGTCAAATGTAGGAAAGATTCTTAATTATCGTCCATTGTGGCGCTGTTCAAAATTCCATACAAAACTTCTTAACATTTTGACGCGTATCGAGATTGAACTCGATATTGGTTCGTGCAAACTGTACCACTAGCACGAACCAATATCGAATTCGAATAGTTTGCGAGTGCGAAATGTCAATGTCAATTTTGTATTGAAACTCGAACAGCAGCGCCACTGCGGACGTAACGAGAACTAAAAATCAGTACACATTTCACAATGACATTTCGCACTCGCAAACTATTCTTATTCAATATTGGTTCGTGCTAAGGGTACTGTACTTATAAGTAGATGCTCATGACTTCAGATCCACAGAAGGACTCGAAATAGTAATTTATCGGTCACCCATCCTTTGACTAGCCTTTGATGAAGTTGCTCAACTAAATTGTTTTATATAATTCAAATATGTTTTAGTAAAATACAATTAAATGTATTTTATACTTAACAACACAAATATTTTCAGGTGTCTCTTCGTAGAACACAGAAAAGGACTCAAGAAAAAGCCTGAAAAAATAGAAAATGGACTATGAAGATCAAAATTAAATTTAGATTTAATCCTAAGAAAATATAGTTAAGTTTTCCCACCGAATTTCATCAATTTTCATGGTACACAACCTAATTTACCAGATAATAAAATAAATAAAATCAGCTATCAAAAGTTACTTTTTACTCATAATAATTTACAGAACATTTCACAAAATGGCAATCAGAATCAAAATTTGTCTATACCAAATTACAGAATATTAAACACAATATCAACATAAACTTTGTTTTAATTTTCTTAGTTCTCTCATAATAAAACTCTGCGGAATTGCTATATCATCTTGACTCTCACATTCTTTGTACCCAGTTTCATTAAAAACCCTTATAGTTAAGTGAAAACTTTTTACAAGTTTTTGCTCTATGATGTTCTTGCTGCCATAAAAAGCTGACCTCTGGAGCTTCTCTTAGTTTGAAGAGTCGAAGTAATTACACAGGAACGAAGCAAAAACTCCAAGTAATCCACACCACAGTCCACCTCAATTATCAGTAGGTACGATACAGCTAATAAACCCTATACACGGGAATTTAACTCCACACTGAACCGATCGACCAAACTATAAGATCTGTTTTCGCTTGCAACGAACACCGTAGACGAATACCTGATACCTTCTAACTGTAAATTGAACCCTATTAAAAGCAGTGTTTGTGTCATTTTCCAAGAAATTCAAAATTCTTTCATGAAAGCTCAGTGTGGTGCAGAAATACGCCTGTTGTGCACTTAAGGGTTGAACATTAAAAGTTTATTCAGCTTACAAACGATATTGATACGTGCTTACACAGTAAGCTTTCAAACCCGACACTACTTATAGGGTTAGTTGATTTTAAAGTAGGTAAAAGTATCATTTTCTGTAAGATACAAAATAACAACTCCAGTAGTAAAAAAAAATACGTGTGGCACTCGGGGACTGCCGCGGTAAAGCTATGGCGTAGCAACAACTTATGCAATTTTAATTATTTATTTTATTATTTATGCAGTATTTTTTTCTTTGATATTAATTCAAGTTTTTTCTTTGATATTAATAGATGGCGAGGCAGGCCTTATGATATTTAATTGGCCAAGCACAGCAAACAACAGCATTGCCCGGCTCCAAAAAACTTCCACAAGCTCCACAGTTTACCATCTTTAGTCCAAAAATTTAAATTATAATTATACAGTCTAAATAAAAGATAGACAAATAAATATAAGAACAGGTGCTGGGGTCTAAACCAAATATATAAAAAGGCAAAAATAATAATAAAAAATACGAGTGCGGGATTTGAACCGACGACCGCGGTGATGAGTCGAACGTTGGTCCCGTGGCAAAAATTTAACACACTGCGCCGTTTAGATCGATACTGGAAAGGCGAAAATTGGTATCATATGCACTCTTGTCAGGTTGTTTACGTTACGGAATTTCTTGATTCGGTCGCCGCGCTCAAAGCCCGCGATAAAAGCTATGCAATAGCTTAAAAAGGCTTCTGAAGAAATCTTTAATCAACGAAAGATCCTGTAATTACGTTATGGAAAACTTCAACTATAATAAAACGTAATGCTTAGTTCCAGTAATAGGTTTTATAGGGTTCCAAGGGTAAAAGGTGTTTGGGTTGGTAACGGCGCCAGCGCGGCGCGTTCACACAAACGAGTCGCGAGATTTACGGTAAAGTACCTAAAACAAAGAGATGGCAAAAATAAACTCCTCTGTTTTTCAAGCGGCATCCTTGGAGTTAACGGATTAGTTAGATATAGCAATGGGTCTGTAAGATGAGCTCAAGCAGCCACTCTCCCTCACGGCCTCTTACAAACAACATTAAACTTTTACTGCCCCGCAACGACTCGGCTAGTCCACCACTTGTTAATAGGTTTATCGTTCAACTATAAGCCTTTTTATGTGTAACTCCCCCCCCCCCCCTCCCTCCCTCCCCATCATAGCTCGCAATCAAGCATTAACATTTGTCAAAGACTTTCAAAATAATGTTGTAGAAAGTAATGAATGGAATAAAAATGTATAATTGTACCGTAGTCAGTCAGAGTTATCACCTGGTGTTTGTCACCAGTTGTTATTGCCTCGTTTATTGTAAGTTAGCCAAAAATACATACAGGGACATTAATAGGCTGATGATGATGTGGCGGGGTGAGAAATATTACAATGCTTATATTACTTATTAATCGTAACATGACTCATTGTCATAATTTGAAGGGTACTTGTAAAATACTTTTGCAAATGTAATTTTTCCTAACCTTTCCATAAAAGTAAATAAAAGTTTTTCTTTATTTGTTTCTAAAGTAGTTTGTAAAACTAAAATTTCCCAAAAAATCAAATTTGTCATTGATTGTCTTCGAGGTATCACGAAGATGAACTCCAATCAATTGTTGTTTTTTTCTAAAATAAAGTTTTGTTTATATAATGGTGGCCACTCACCACTACGCCGCTTGATCAATAATAATTGGCAAGCCAAAATCCTTCCGTCAAAATCCATGTCCCTCTAAAATGTCTTCCCAGATATGGTAAGTTTGGCTTGATCAAGCATATTTGATCAAGCCACTTGGTGAATAGTCACTATAAGCTGATAAAGAATATTTAATACGAATAATAAAAAGGCTAGCATAGTAGTTCTTTACCTGATTTTATAACCATGATCACCATGGCAGCTTAATCATTGTTCAATTTGATCACAGAATCCATAACTGTGCATTGGACTTAATCATTTTAAAATTAAAAAAAAACTTAAGCTCTCTATGTAGAGGGCTCAGATAGGATTCGAGCTTTCCCTCTCCTTCTCTTTGTTATAAGTATATAAGTATATGTATAAGAATTGGCAGATTCGAATTAAAAGAAGTAGGGCACAGCGGATTTTCTGCTCGAATCGGAGCAAAAGTCTGAGGAAGCAATCTCCAACATAACACGAACCTTTGGTGTTATTGTGTTTGTGCTGGTGAGTAGAGTTCCTGAGCTGCGCTGGGCAGGGGATTGCGTTCAGATTAAGGATGTCTGGGGCGGCACACTTTCTGCCGCATCATCTATCTTCGCGAATGTTCTCCACTTACACGTAGCATCAGGTGGAGTGAAGTAATTTGTTGCGCCTCGTATAAACAAAACCGGTTATCAGATTGTAGTAAAAATTATAAAACTACGATACAAAGGTAGCTAACTTCGTGTGCACACAACCAACCCAATGAGTCCAGTTTTTAGTTCGATGCACATCAAATTCATAGTAAATCTAAAGAAACAGTATGAAACTTTTATTTGTCTCAAAAGGTCATATTGAATTCCAAACGTGTTAACTTTGTCTGGCTTAGGCTGTAACATTGTGCAGCTTTTATTATTTTATCATACCTAATTCAAAGACAAAACATCTGAATTAAAGAAACATGAGTGTAACATTTAATTGGGGAGAAAATAATTATTAGTAAGCCAAAGTTGTGAAGGTAACTGAAAACCGGAAGTATTATGCTCATGCTTTGTATGGATACAAAATCATTAGCCTGTCGAGAACTGCAGTTATTTCAATTTTAGAACGAATAACTAAAGCTACACTCCCAGGTTTATATCAAATTTTGCTAGGCAGGCGGGCAATTCAAGCAGTAAAAGTGAGCTTTAATGCACAGCTCAAAGGAGGCCTCCTTAAACCTACACCTGGGTCGTAAGGCCTGGGAACTGCGAAGTTTATGTCTCTACCATAAGATGGACCCGACACTCGCGCGGTGAATCCATGGGTTGCTAAGAATTTCGTCTGTCTGAAATACAAATATTAATAAAACAATCTTCTAAACTAAGCATAATGAGGGAAATAGCATCTTCCCCAAGCAAACGAATGTTAAAATGTATGTATGTAATTATATGTTTCTGATTTATACTAATATAGTTCACATACCGTTCTTCAACTTCATTATATAAGAGGCCAGCCTCACGGACAACATTAAAGTTTTTCCACGTTCTGGACACGGGAGACCGGGAACGGAGCGGACTAATAGAACATTCCTGCGCTATCAAAAGCGGTCTGGCTTTAAACGGACCGCTCGCCGTATACTTCATTATATTCTTTATAGACAACTCGGTCTGCCGATGCGGTCGCTCGATAGCAAACGGGGCCCTTAACAATTTATTCTTTAATGTATAATACAATGGACCGAAGGATGTTAACCTTATTAACCTGAAACGAATGGTTGTTTAGAAAGAGAATGAATTGGAAACGTATAAAAAACACTTTCATGTCTCGTTCCTTTGTTGAAGCTTCTTGCGATCGGATTATATCTATAACGTAGCGTCCTTTTTGGAACAATTGTCACATTATTAAACTATGTATTACTTTACCTACTTACAACATTATTTCAATTAAGAACTGAATTTATATCTTCACAGATATCAAATATTTTAACTGAGCAGGAGCAAAGATACATAAGGCACACTAAAGATTCCCGAAAAGGGGCATTTTCCATTATCGGGACATATCTATTGGCCCACTTAGTGTTATAAGTTTCAACGGTCTGTAGCAAAAATATAACTTTTACTTATAGCTAGGGACTGGTCAATACTAAAAATATATTGTTTTAAACTTTCATGGTCACTAACATTATAGATTTCGGCACTGTTGCAAGTGCCATGATCACGGAGTAGTGAGTTACTCCGTGATCATGGCGCTTGCAACAATGCCGAAATATCGGAGACTCAACAATCCCGTTAATAGCTATAATACTAAAAATGCTAGGAGGTCCGATAGATGTGTCCAGAAGTTTATTAAAAAATCGCATAAAAGCCTATTAACTAAATAGGGTCATCATCCCTATTTCATTTATAATAAATAATTAAAAATTAAATGAGGGATGGTCACTATTTGTTTTTTTCTTCTTCTATCAAGTAGAGTATCAAAAAGTTTTGGACACGTATGTTTTCTTTTTTCACGTAATCAAAACCTTACCATGACATATCGATTTGAAATGTCGCATGATGTCACGTCTTGGTACAATTTTTACTTAGCAGTGACGTCATATGCTCCACTCCACTCCCAAACTTTGTAGCGCTTTATCTTTGTCATGTTTTGGTTGATTTTCCAAAGAAAATTAAGTGTCCAGTACTTTTTAGAATCTAAGCGGCGGACTAAATAGAATTTCTATTACCTACTTTACCATCATCCCTATTCTTGTGCTTTAAATTTTTTTTAGTAATAATAGGTTTCAGTTATTTTTACGTTTCCGCAGCATTTTTATTGCATCTATCGTCTTCACCATGTGAGTAGTATGATTTACTACGATTTTAAAAATGATTTCATGC